TAGGTGATCATTTGTCATTCTTTTTGCCTTTATGATGGAAGTTTTCGTTGTGTTGTGGTTTTAATACTGATAGAGACCCTTGATTTGGCGTAAATTCTGCACTGTATTATCATTAATTAATTAGTCTTGAGTACATACATCTTGCATAGGGTCTTGGTAAAGAAATTAAATACATGTGCAACTGATACATGTAATTGAAGATTTTACTGTTCGTTTCTCTAAATATCTTCCCTTCTTCTATCTTCTGTTATTCATTCAAGTATAAAGGGTAACTTGGACTTCTGTCCACCTATACCCACAATTGTTGACTTCACAACCCCATTTGCTCTTGAAGGACACCAAAAGGCAAACGACAACTACTTTTACACGTTTTGCCCACAACTTCAAATCCAACTTCGCTACGTTAATTCCCGACCGACTGCCAGAATTTTTTGTACAAAAAAAAAATTCCCTTCAATCAGCTCACAAAAGCAATTGAAACTGCAAAAAAAAAAAAAAAGTCCTTCTTGTAACCGTTGGTACAAAACTAAGACATACATTACATTTTGCAACTTCTCTCACACCTTCCCTGCTTCAGCCTACAACAACTATTTCATCTTTCGATCTTCGAATTCCCCACTGTAAGTATAAGAAGACTGCGATGATTTTCACATCTGTGTTGCACTCAAGAAATTAGTTTAAATCTAAAATAGGCCTTTTGAATTGTAAGAGCTAGTACAAAACTGCAAGATAAATTACATTTTTCTCATTTGAACTTGTGTGGAAGTTCTCGAATAGATATCCTGAACATTTACAAGAAATTTAATTTAAATTATGTAACTTGCTTGCCAGTTTCATTTATTTCTATTAGTTTTTCACATATGCAAATGGGTTAAATAGGTTAATATATTTCATAGGAATCTTATTTCCACTTATGAACGGAGTTATATACGCTAATAGCCTTCCTCAATTTGTGTTGGTTGTTTTCAGTTTCAACTATTCTATAACTTAGCATACTGTTGTCATGGATATTTTGAATACATGTTCTGACGGAGGTACTACTCCTTTAAACTTCGAAACAATGTCGTATCGCCAACTATTAAATAGCTGACATACGGTAGTATAATTTTTCATCCTATGTTTATTTATATACGTGTGTCTTCATTCAAATTTTTCTTCCAATTGTTACTTAACGAAGTGTGAATCGCATCACATACGATGACATAAGGGGGCAACGCCACCAGAAGGAATTCTGATTTGTAAACGATTGTGAGTTTTTGTAATTTTTATTAATGTTTTTGAATTAAATTATTAATAAGTGAGATTGTATTTAATTTGTGTAAAATGTAAACAAATGTTATCACCTAAATTTAATTAAGTAGAATAATGAAATGTTCATTTTTTGTCACAAAGGAAAAAAAAATTGAATCGCGCAGTGTGGAGTGAAAACTCTGCACTATGCAGAGTGATTACTCCGCACTGTGTGGAGTAAAACTCCGCACTTGAAAAAAAAAAAACTCTGCGCTGTCTGCACTGTGCGGAGTGGCAAGAAAAAAAAATCTCGCAGACACTTGCGGAGTTTTTTTTTTCACATACTCTGCATTGTTTGGAGTCACTTTGCTTCACACTCTGCACTCTGCGGAGTGCAAATTAATCCATAATATACTAAATATCACATTAAGTGAGAATTATTTTTGGACAATTTTAACCTTGCTACAATTCAATTATTTCAATAATACTTTACTTTCCATTTTTCAATATATAATAAATACTACAAAATCATTGTTATGTATTAATTTCGTGCAATTAATTTTCAATTAATTAACATTCACATTAATCTAGACTTAATAAAATTTGACTTGATAAGTCTTGATCTACATGAACATAGAGTTATTATAGATGAATTTATTTTTATTCATGTGTCTATGAATTTAAATGGTTGTTTAAAACATGTAGTAATAATTAAAATCAGATTAAAATTGAAAAATTAGCCATTATTGTTGAATTTTATTAGGCGGGTGGGACTCAATAATGGCTATATTTTCAATTTTAATTGAATTTTAAGTTTCTCCAAACATGCTCTTAAATATCTCCTGCAAAAAAACATTGTGTTACCAAATCTTTGATTCATAAAATTCTCCGTCGAAACAAAAACCCGCGACAGAATTCAAAATTACCCGAACAAATTGAGACATATCTGTAAGTATAATTATCATACCGATCATGCTACTTGTACAAAATGGCTTGACAAACTAGGTTTACAAAGTGATGTGACAAGAATTAAAAGACTAAAAAGTCATTCCTCTATTCTT